TGACGGCCTCTTGTCTTCGCAGGCATTACACAACACGGGTGCACTTACCTACATGCAGGCAATACACTCATACACATAAAATAAAATTTAAAAAATTGAAAAAAAGAAAATGTAGGGACTAGAGAGATGGCTCAGCAGTTTCCCAGGGAATCTGACAGTCTCTTCTGTTCTTTTCTGTTCTCTGTGGGCATTGCACAACGCAGGTCCACTTACCTACATGCAGGCAATACATGCATACAGATAAAAATAAAATATTTTTTAAAAATTAAATTTTTTTAAAAATGTAAATTTTTTTGTTGTTCTTTTTGAGACAGGGTCTCCCTGTAGCCCTAGCTGGTCTGGATTCGCTATGGAGACCAGTCTGGCCTCAAACTCACAGATCTGCCTGCCTCTGAGTGCTGGGATTAAAGGCGTGCACCACCACGCCCGGCTGTAAATTTCTTTTTAAAAAAAGTGATTTATTTCTATTTGTACAAATATTATGTTTGCCTACATGTATACTGGTATGTGTATAGTGCCCACAGAGGCCAGAAGAGGATGACACAGTCACCGTGTGGGTGCTGGGGAGTGAACCCAGGTCCTCTGGAAGAGCAGCAAGTACTCAACCACTGATCTATCTCTCCAACCCTGAAATGTAAATTTCTAATCCACTGAGACAATTCAGTTCCGGAGATGGAGCTCAGTAAACTATAGTCTTTCAGGTCACTGACACTAAACAGATGTCTGCCTCCCAGATGATTCTCTTGCCTACGCTAAGGATTGAGAACCACTTGTCTAGATTAAGAATTTGCCAAATGTGACTAACATTTGTTCAGCACCTGCCCTAGGCTGGGCCTCTTCATATGATTTATCTTTCATTTCACCATAAGGAAGTAGGTGTCAGTCTGCAGATTGTACTCATAGTAAGTGGTAGAGTCTAGATCCACAGGCTTGAAGATAGAGGCTGCAGACTGCATTTTATCATTTTCTATATCTTTAGTGATCTTTGCTCATTAGAACTACCAGTGGTGCTCTTAGAAATGCTGCCGGGCATGGTGGCACACACCTTTGATCCCAGCATGTGGGAGGCAGAGACAAGCAGATTTCTGTGAGTTCCAGGCCAGCCTGATCTACATAGTGAGTTCCAGACCAGCTGGGGCTACAGGGAGACCCTGTCTCAAAAAGATACCCCCCCCCCAAAAAAAAGAGAAATGCTACTGCTAGTTGACCTGGTGGCACACGCCTTTCGTCCTAGCACTTCATCCCAGCACATCCCAGCAGAGGTAGGCCAATCAGTGTTCCAGCACAAAAGCTGATATGTAGTTAGAACTTAATTGTTGTTTTTAGGTGGGTCTTTGCTATGTTTTCCAGGCTGATCTTTATCCTCTAGGCTCAAGCAATCCTTCTGCCTCCTACCTCAGCCTGCTGAGTAGTAAGAGCTTTAGGTGTATGCTACTGTACCCAGTTTAATATTTGAATAGTGGAAACGAGACAGTTTGGTGGTTAAGAGTGCTTCCTGCTCTTCCATAAGATCTGAGTTCAGTTCACAGTACCCATGTTGGGCAGCTTACAATCACCTGTAATTCTAGTTCCAGGGGATCTGACACCTTCTGGCCTCTGCAGGCACCAGGACATACTATAGCATTTGCACACAGAAACAACACACACATACACACAAAAAGAAAGGGCCAGAGCCAGGCATGGTGGATCCATACCTTTAATACCAGCAGAGGCATGTAGAGCTCTGTGAGTTCCAGGATAGCCAGGTCTACATAGTAAGTTCCAGGTCAACTGGGCTACAGGGATACCCTGTTTCAAAAAAATTAAATAAAGGGGCTGGAGAGATAGCTCAGTGGTTAAGAGCATTCTTCCAAACTCCGTAGACATTGCACAACACAGGAGTACTCAACACACATGCAGGCAATACACTCATAAATTAAAATAATAAAAAATAAATAAATAGCCATGCGTGGTGGCGCATGCTTTTAATCCCAGCACTTGGCACTGCCCAGAGGCAGGCGGATCTCTGTGAGTTCAAGGCCAGCCTGGTCTACATAGTGAGTTCCAGGACAGCTGGGGCTACAGGGAGACCCTGTTTAAAAAAAGACACAAAAAAAGTTATATTTGAGGAGGAAGCATAAAAATTTACTGCATGTTAATTAGCAAAGGTGATAAACATTACCGTTGAAATCTACCTGATGACTTTATATCCATACTCAGGTGCCAAGGATCCCAGCATAACCAACTGTGACTAGTAATGATCAAATACATAGAGATTAGAGACCCATGTAGAAACATCTAAGTGTTAGTAACATTAAAAATAAGTCTTTCTGAGGGAAACAGTGTATTTTAAAATAAAATGGAGGTCTTTTTTAAAGGTTAACTCATTCAATTTTATGTCTTACAGGGTTTATACTGAGTTCAATATTGTATAACTGTATTAATTCAACTGTGAACCTAAAAATTTACAGCCACTTTTGAAAGAGATGTATCTTTGCTCTGGAAATTGTTATTGAATATGTTAGCACTGTAATGAAATACTTCTTCTAATCATGTGGTTATTAAATTTAAAAAAGTTTTTAATAATACTTGAATGGTGAATGAAGGGATCTCTAAATTTTTTTAACTGATGAACGCAAATCACTTCATGAAATCATACTACTAACAAATGGAGTAACAAGAAATCAAATCTTGTTCTTACTCAAAATTCTGTTTTTACTTTATTTATTATTTTTATTTTATGTGTATGAGTGTATTGCCTGCATGTGTGTAAGTGCACCTGTGCCATGTGATACCCATGGAGGTCAGAAGAAGGCAGCAAATCCCTTCTGAGGGTTTTGGGACTCAAACCCAGGTCCTCTGCAAGAGCAGTCAGTGCTCTTAACTGCTGAGCCATCTCTCCAGCCCCTCAAAATTCTGTTTTTTACGACTGCATCATAACCAAAATAAACAGCATTTAGCATGCTAGCAAAGCAGCAATTCCACAAGCTCTTACCTAATGTTAAATCTATTACAACTGTAATAATATTGTTTTGTAACAGAAAGAGGTTTCATAATTTAGGATACATTTGTGCAATGGAAACCTAGAAACAAGTAGAGATTTTATTACTAACAAAAACTGCCATGTTTGCACACACTTCTCTGTTCCTTGTATTGTTTTTTAAATTTTATTTATTATTTTTATTTTGTGTGTATGCATGTATTGTCTGCATGTAGGTAAATGCACCTGTGTCGTGCAGTGCTGGCAGAGGTCAGAAGAGGTTGTCGGATCCCCTGGAACTGGAGTTATGGACAGTTGTTAGCTTCCATGTGGGTGCTGGGATTTAAACTGCAGTCTTCTGCAAGAACAACCAGTGTTCTTAAACGCTGAGCCATCTCTCGAGCCCCTGTTCCTTGTACTGTAATAGCAATTTAGTTCAGCAAACATTTGTTAGCAAATATTTGAGAACACTCAGAGATACAGAAAATAATAAAATGCAGCTTGTGACTTGGGAGATGGAGGCAGGAAGATCAGGTGTTTGAGTCCAATCTGGATTACATAAGAGGCAGAGGTAGGTGGATCTCTGTGAGTTCAAGGCTAGCCTGGACTACATAGAGAGTTCTAGTCTAGCTGGGGCTACAGGGAGACCCTGTCTCCAAAAATCAAAAAAAAAAAAAAAAAAAAAAGGCAACTTACCAGCTATCTACAGTACAAGTCCTTGCCTTCAACTCTTTTGGTCCAGGAGGCATACTGAGAAATAGAGATATGAGCAATATAGCTTCTATGTTGCCCAAGGAAGTAAGGACTGACTTTGTAGGTGAGGAGCTGGGAGATGGTCAGAAAAGACTTTACAGAATACATACCAGTGCAACTCAAGCAGAGCTCATCAGAAGTCCTCTACACAATGGAGTTCTATGGTGGAGTATATAGATTTTCAGAATGATTAATGGGTAATTTTAAATGGGGGTGGGGGAGGCTGGAGAGATACTCTTGCAGAGGACCTAGGGTCAGTTCCCAGCACCCACATGCTGGCTAACAACCAGACATAACTACAGTTCCAGGGGATCCAATGCCCTCTTTTTGCCTCCTGGGGCATACCATACTGCACATGGTATACTTGCATGCATGCAGGCAAAACAATCATACACATAAAATAAATTTTAAAAATTAAGTCAGGCATGGTGGTGCACACCTTTAATCCCAGTACTAGGGAGGCAGAGGCAGGCAGATCTCTGTGAGATTGAGGCTAGCCTGGTCTACATAGCAAGTTCCAGATCAGCAGGGACTATGGGGATACTCTGTCTCAAAAAAAAAGCAAAACAAAATAAAAAACAATTTAAGAAATAAATTAAGCCAGACAAGGTGGAGCACACCTGGAGTCCTAGCACGTGGAAGACAGAGGCAGACGGATCTCTCTGAGTTCAAAGCCAGCTTGGTCTACATAGTTCTAGGCCAGCTGGGGCTACAGGGAGACCCTGTGTCAAAAAGACCAAAAGAAAAAAACAAAGAAATTATAAATTGGGAACTGGGTATGGTGGTGCACACCTGTAGTCCCAGCACTTGGGAAGCAGAGGTGAATCTCTGTGAGTTCAAAGCCAACCTGGTCTACATAGTGAGTTCCAGGCCAGCTAAGACTACAGGGAGATTCTGTCTCAAAAAAGACCCCCCCAAAAAGAAAAAAATAATAAAATGGAAAGACCCAAATCAGCCCTCTAGACTAGAGTCACTTGTTTTTAGTTACTTGATTTTATTTGCCTTTAAATATCACAATTTTTAAATGTTTAATTAAATTTTATTAGTGTTTTGCCTGCATGCATGTGTCACGTTTATGCCTGGTGCCTGCTGCCTGCTGAATCCAGCAGAGGACATCAGATTCCTTGGAAGTGGAGTTACAGAGGGTTGTGAGCCACCATGTGGGTAGTGGGAACTGAATCCTGGCCTGCTGCAAAAACAGTTAAATGCTCTTAACTACTGAGCCCCTCCTCTGCATTCCCCCCTCACCAGCTTCTTTACCCTATAAACTCCCCTTTGGAAGGAAGATTTGAGGCTTGGGTCTGTCGTTTCCTCATGCTTGGCCGCTTTTGAATAAACTGCTCCTTTGGAAAACATCATTTCAGTTCAGTGAACAGCACACTGTTCAATGCACAAAATGGTCCTGGTTCAGTAACGAGTTCAAATAGCAAAGCAGCACTCTCCCTTGAAGAACTTCTGGAGCACCCCAGTCATTTCTTCAATTACCTGAACTCTTGAACTGAATCCTCTGCTACTGCTGTCACTTTTAAATGGGCTTTGGGGGAAAGCAATTTGGGGTTAGTCCACGTTTCTATGGGAGACACAGTGCCTAAAACAGTGTACATTAGAGAGTCTAGAGATCTGACACTAGTGCTGACTAGAAGATTCATGCATCAGAAGAGAGGATGTGGAGGGCAGAAGTTTGTGCTATAATTAATTCTAGGAGTAACAGAGCTTGGGAAGGGAGGGGAGTACAGCCGGTAACTATTTTGAGCAAGCTGTGATTGACAGGACATGTGTACTGGACTGTACTGATCCCAGGTCCAAGTTGCCTGCCTATGGTGTGTGGCATGGGGTTCGGGGGGAGGCCTGGGGCAGCCGGAGCAGAACAGCCAGACAGCAGGCCAGACGGGGTACCAGCGCCTCAACTTCTCTCTCTGGGACACGGTCCAATTCCGGGGGCCATAAGCCAAGCTGAGCGATGGGTGCTGAGGAGGAGGTGCTGGTCACATTATCAGGGGGAGCTCCTTGGGGCTTCCGACTTCATGGGGGGGCCGAACAGAGGAAACCTTTACAGGTATCCAAGGTAAGGGAGAGCCCTGAAATGAAATTTCAGGGAGAAGGGAACTCAAGGGAACCTGGGAAAAACGATGTGGTAGCCTACTGGACCAGGGGAGTGGGGCAGAGTGGGAGGTTGTGAAGAAGAGGTGGTGGGCAGAGAGGCAGGTGAAGAGGTGGGCAGAGAAGTATGCTCATCTGATAAGGGGAGTAGACTAACCACTAGCTTCTTCTGGAAGGCCATTAGCAAAGGCTGGATTCAGGGAGCAGAGTAAATTGAAGGCCCTACTTCAGCACTGTGGTAGTAGAGGCCAAGTCTGGTCAGTCATCCAGCAGTTGCTCTTCTATGAGCGTAAGCCTCACTGCTCCAAACTCCAGGAATGTAGGGAAGGTTCTAATTTCTGACTAAACCGATATGCAACAAGTTGAGGCTGTCTCACCCAGCCCAGCCCAGCCCAGCCCAACCCTCCCGTCTGTCCTGCCCTGTCCATGCCTTCAGTGCTCCTCTCTCCCTAAGTCAGATCCTTTCTCTTACTAGGCAAGGCTTTTTAGGTCCCAGGAGGGTTATGGCAAGATTTGGCCTATCTGATGAAGTCATAACCCTTTTGTAGGGTTTTACCCTACAGACTTAGTTTTCCTGGACTATAAAACATGGGTAATAATAGTACCAATTTTAAAAAATTATTCTAAGGTCCGGTTATGGTGGCGCATGCCTTTAATCCCAGCACTCGGGAGGCAGAGACAGGCAGATCTCTGTGAGTTCGAGGCCAGCCTGGTCTCCATGGTGAATCCAGGACAGCTGGGGCTACAGCTTTTTGAGACCATGTCTCAAAAAAACCAAAAAATAAATTAATTTAAAAATCATTCTAAGAATTGAATGCAGTAATTCATACAGTGCAGTGTCTAAAACTTAGTAAGAACTCAATAAATGGTAGCCCTCTGTGTGTGCACATATCATGTACACACACACACATACACATACACACACACACACTCACTCTGATCATAATCTCTCAGAATCTAGATAGTTTACCTTAATCTGGAATACTGTTCTAAAATGTTAACTTGTAATAGCACCTGGGAATCCAAGGCCCAGGAAAAAACTTCTGGCCAGTAGAGATACTGCCTTGGAGGAAAATCTTGGGGATACTATTGTTTCTCAAATTTCATTCCATGCAGTTTTCTCCAACCCTGTTTTATTCAGTGGTTACCCTGCCTCCAATAAACCTTTTTTTGTTTTGTTTTGTTTTGTTCTATTCTGAGATAGGGTCCTCCTGTAGCCCCAGCTGACCTGGAATGTAGACCAGGTTGCCCTCAGTCTCACAGAGATCCAATTGCCTCTGCCTCCAAAGGGCCAAGATTAAAGGCATGTGCTATCCTGCTCATCTTCCCATAAACCTGTATCTTTAGACTGACACAGATAACTCTCCACCCTGTTTACCCTACAAAGAAAAAGTCCCTCACATAGGCCCTTCTTATCCATTCACTCTATTCCCACTGGAGCCCTCATCATCTACATTCTTCCTTCTAACATCTCAGATCCGAAGACGGAGCCAAGCTGGCAGAGCAGGACTCCGAGAGAGGGACCAGCTCTTGGCAATCAATGGGGTTTCTTGCACCAGCTTCTCTCATGCTAGTGCCATGACCCTCATTGATGCCTCAGGGAATCAGCTTGTCCTCACTGTACGGAGGTATGAACACCTTCACTCCTTTCCCCCTAGTCTAGGGCTTTCCTTACCTGACTTAGCTCTATGTCTTTCTCACCTGGCTTTAGCGACTAACAGTTACCTATTCCTGCTTGTGTTTTTCTGCTGGAGAATGTTTGTGTATACCTCCCAAAGGGTTTGCATGAATTTTCAATTAAGAGGTGGGTGTTGAGTAATAATAGTACCAGTTATTACTCAATAATTGACTCAATAATAGTAAGTGACTGGTGAACTTCAACCTTCCGCCTGTCTCCTTATCACATCTTTCTTAAAGCCCATTTCCATTTAGAGCTCTCCAAACACACTTGTCTTCCTTTCTCTCGGTCACCTATTCCAGCCATATATCAGTCTCCTCTTTCTCCATTCCCTCTTTCCCTCATCCCCTCCAGATCTCTAGGGCTATGTTAGTTGTGCAGCCCCTCTCTCATGTTCTGTCATCTTTCCCATCCAGGGTAGCAGATGAAGGATCTGTGAGATCTCCATCTCCTGGGGAGCTTCAGGTGCTGTCGCCCTTATCTCCATTGAGTCCTGAACCCCCTGGTATTCCTGTTCCCCAGCCTCTTCAGCCTGGAAGTCTTCGTTCACCCCCTGACAGTGAGGCTTACTATGGAGAGACAGACAGTGATGTTGATGGCCCTGCCACACAGGAGAAGCCCCGCCGACCCCGCCGCAGAGGCCCCACAAGGCCCTTCCTTCCAGGAGCCCCACCTGATGAGGTCTACCTGTCTGATAGCCCTGCAGAGCAGGCATCTGCTAAACCTGGCCCTCCCAGCCAGGGTGACAGCAGTGTGAGCTCCCCATCTTGGGAGGAAGGGGCAGCCCTTCAGCCACCACCAGCAGAAGCACTTCTGTTACCCCATGGTCCTCTCCGGCCTGGTCCTCATCTCATCCCTATGGTGGGGCCTGTCCCCCACCCAGTGGCAGAAGATCTTACTACCACCTACACCCAGAAGGCCAAGCAAGCCAGTGAGTGCCTGAACTCTTTTGTTCTCAATCAGGATCTGGGCCCTAAAATCTGTGTTTTCATATCTACACATTCTACCTACCTTGTGTTCCCTGGAAACAGTCTTTGGGACACCTAGAGAGTATACAACAGTAATGAGGGAGAGGAGAATAGTTTTATTCATGGTCCCTACTTATTTTGCTATTTGGCCAGCATAGCAAAAAGGTAACGGGTGGCTCAGTCAAACCAAAAACAGAGTAAGTGGGAAAACTGGGAAAGGACAGGAATAGGTGAAGTTTTGGTGGTGGTTGTTGTTTTGCTGGATGTCGGGATGGAGTGAGGAGAGGACAGATTTAGGGTAAGGGAGCATCTGAAAGCAGGGTACAGTTACAGACACTGTATGGTGTTAATTGTAGGCACAGTACTATCTTTAACACTTTTAAGTTCATTTGGGATTCCTAGGGACTAGGAATATTGGGGGGGGTATGATCATGAGACCTCCTGGTAAGTGGAAAAAGAAGGGATCTTTGGCTTTTTATCGAAGGCAAGAATGTAGGCCTGAGCAGAAAAAGCCAGTTCCAGTTATCCCAGGCTCTTTGCTATTTTTTCTGTGAGCTACAGAAGTAGAGTTTCTCTTTACCTTCCATGTCTGTCCCACAGAGATCTTTTTGTCATTTCTAAAATCTCTCGATTCCCTCACTAGTTCTCTCCTTTCTTCCTCTCCATCCTTCTATTTCTTGTTCTATAGTGTTTTTTTGTCTCCGAGTTTGATTTCTTTTTGTCATTTCTAAAATCTCTCGATTCCCCTCACTAGTTCTCTCCTTTCTTCCTCTCCATCCTTCTATTTCTTGTTTCTATAGTGTTTTTTTGTCTCCGAGTTTGATTAGAGGCTAAAAGCCTGAGAATTGAGTTTTACCTCCTGAGTGTCCATTATCCTACAAAGAAATTCCAGATGCATGCTCAGGATCCCATTCCTATCCCCAAGTCTCAATTTAGCACCCCCTCCCTTCCCATCATGATGGGAGAGGTTGTAGTTAGTGGTTCGGGCTTATTTTTAGCCAAGCAGACCTCACAGTGTAGTGGGGGTGGGGTGAGGGGAAGGGGAAGCAGGTGCCCATGTCTATCACACCAGGAGTTGTAGGGCAGGGAAAGGAGGGATGGGGACAGGTTCTAAAAAAAGCTCAGTGAGCTCATTCGGCTGCCAGCTCTGGGCACAAGACAAAGGGGCTTTAAAAGGCCTTGGGGGTGCCTCAAGCTGGTCCTGCTCCAGCCAACACCGGTGGCCTTTCTCAGCATGGAGACCTTTGAGCCCATCATCCAAGAGCCCCTCATCCAAGCCAGCTTGGACAAAGCCCCAAGCCCAGTTCCTGAGCTCCAAGACCCATTCTATGCAGGTACTACCCTATCCATTCAAAGGGAGACTGGGGTCTAGAATGGAGGGCTCAGCAGCTGAGAAGGGTGGTCTTTGGGAAAGGTCATACTCTCTCATCCTCTCTTTTTTTGCTGTCCTCTCCCCACCTTTTTTTTTTCAGGAAAGTGTCACTGCCCCTTTCTCAGAATGGGTTGATGCCATGACCACATGACAAAGGGGTTAATGACCACCTGAGCTATAGAAAGCTCATAGGAAAAGAATGAGAAGTGGGAGTTCATTATAAATACATGAAGACATGTATGTATGGATCTATGGGAAAATATATGTATGAATAAGAAAGTATCTGTCTACATGAGCAGCTAGTGTCAAGAAAGCTTTGGGAGTAATGGTTGCTCACAGCAGGTCTTGGCAGTGTATTAAATGCTAAATTTACTTATTACAATATTCATAGCAACTTTGTGAAACAGCCATTATCATCCTCATTTACAAATGAGGAAAGTACAGTTCAATGAGGTGAAGTCATTGTCCTTGAACTGAACCCTGACTCCTGTGTCTATTCTCTCATGCACAGTACTATTCTGTGTTATACACGTTGGGAGGAGAGGAATGAGAGCCCTAATCAGAAAGCAGCTTGGAATCTGGAGAGGAAACTAGATGGAATTTTAAGAATTTTTAGGAGGAACTGGGAACTGTGGACCAGAAAGTATCCATGTCTAAGGCGGGGTTTTAGCAGCTGGGCAGCCTTTCCCATTTCCTGGCCCCACCTACCCAAACCCACAGGGCATGGGAAGCCCTTCCTTGGCTCATCAGCACACAGGCCCTCACATGCCTGCCTGATGGTGGCTGCCTGAGCTCACTACCTAAAAGGCTTGGCAAATAGGGGAGGAAGCACATCTGACTTCCAAAGCAATCCCATCTTGTGGGGAAAGGAGAATATATTTACCTGGTGACATAGAAGTATCCTAAAGATTTGGAAGGTGGCTGGCCGTGGAAAGCAGCACTCTGTCTTTTCCTGCATCTTGGATCCACTCTTATCCCTCTATGTGAGTAGCAGGGGTATGAAGCACAGAGGAGTGCTCTGGCAGTTGAAGGGCCAAGATCAGCTCTACAGCCTATACTGAAACAGGGTCTCTGCAGGGGAGACTCTGGGAAGAGCTACCTAGAGCATGTAGACATGCAAATTTGAGGGACTGTGTTGCTAAGTGAACTGAGGTGTATGTAAGCTGGGATGTATATGAATAAGAGAAAAGTAAGTTAGAGAAAATATACCCACAGCTGGCTTTCAGTAGTAGACTGATGATCTTGTTGAGATGGCGTGTGGGGAGGCCAGGCATGATAGTACATCCTTTTAATCCCAGACACAAGGAGTTCAAGGTCTCTGTGAGTTCAAGGCCAGCCAGGTCTACAGAGTGAGGCATTCCAGGACAGCCAGGGCTCTACATAGTGAGATCCTGTCTCAAAAAAAGTGTGTGAGGAGTGTTTGTGATGTGAATGGCATGACAAGAGTGGAGTTGTGAATGGAGATTCTTATTCTGATCTGTGTAATCTGTGTATCAAGAAGTGGAGATAAATTCCAAACTATGTGCACCTGCTAACATAGTATCTATGGGGGGAGATAAGTGTCCCTAACATTTTCTCTCTCTGGACTTGTCTCATTTCCCTGCCTGCCATGGAGTGACACCTCCCCCCACTCCCACTGCTGGTCAGGAATGGGAAGCAGGTGAAGAATGTGTGGAGTGGATAAGGGCACATCTCCCAGAAGATAGGAGTAGACTAGTGGAAGAGAGAACAGAAGAGCTGTGGGGAGGGCAGTGTCTGTCCTTGGCTTCACCTTTCACCCTCCACTCTGTCCCCAAGTCAGAGGGTTTTGCCACAGGCAAGAGACATTGTGGGTCCTGTTAATGAAAAGGCAGGCAATAAGAGCTTGGGGGAGCAGGGTTAGTTCAGGCTGTGAAGCCTCTGACCAGTCCACCTCTTGATCTCCTCAGAACTGCAACGTACAGAAAGCCTCCAAGAGAAGAGCGTGAAGGAGGCCAAGACCAAATGCCGGACCATTGCATCCCTGCTAACTGCAGCCCCCAACCCTCATTCTAAGGGGGTGCTTATGTTTAAGAAACGGCGGCAGAGAGCCAAGAAGTACACCCTAGTGAGTTTCGGGGCTGCAGCAGGCACAGGCACGGAGGAAGAGGACGGTGTCCCTCCAACGAGTGAGTCGGAGCTGGACGAAGAGGCCTTCTCAGACGCCCGCAGCCTTACCAATCAGTCTGACTGGGATAGCCCCTATCTGGACATGGAGCTGGCCAGGGTGGGCTCAGGCGCAACAGAGGGTCAGAGCTCGGGGCTGGGAGGGCAGCTGAGCGAGGTCTCTGCCCGAGGGGCCCAACTCCGTGAACAGCAGCGCCAGGGCGCAGCCTCCAGCACCCAGGAGCTGGCTCCGGCTAGCCCAGCAGCCATGCTAAATGGGCAGGGTCCGGAGTCACCACCGCGGGCTCAGAGTGCTCCTCCAGAAGCAGCTGTGTTCCCACTCAGTCCTTTGTCGGCACCTTCGGTCAGCCCTAGACCCTTCCTCCCAGATGGTAGAGCCCCTACTCCAGCCCCAAGTATCTTTAACAGGTCAGCAAGGCCTTTTACCCCAGGCTTACAAGGGCAGCGATCAGGTACCACCTCGGTGATTTTCCGGCCCTTAGCCCCAAAGAGAGCGAGTGAAAGCTTGGGAGGCCTGAGCCCCGCCCCATCCCCTTTCGTGTCCTCCCCACCCCCTTTCGCATCCCCTCCGCAGGGGCCCACTCCTCTGCCCAGCTTCTCCACCGGGGTTCCCAGCCACCCGCCGGGTTCCCCCAGCACCCCGCGCTCCTTGGGCCCTGTGACCGCCACCAGCTCCCTGTACATCCCAGCCCCGAGTCGTCCCGTTACACCCGGAGGAGCCCCAGAGGCTCCCGCTCCTACTGGCGCGGCTGCCATGACCTCCACAGCTTCGATCTTCTTATCCGCACCTCTTCGAACCTCTGCCCGCCCAGAGGTCCCGATCCCCGCGACCCCCGCGGCCCCCGCGCCTCCCAGCGCTCGGGAGCAGCGCATCTCTGTGCCCGCTGCGCGCACCGGCATCCTGCAGGAGGCCCGGCGCCGCGGCACTCGGAAGCAGATGTTCCGGCCTGGCAACGAAGAAACGAAAAACTCGCCCAACCCGGAGCTGCTGTCTCTGGTGCAGAACCTGGATGAAAAACCCCGGACTGGGAGTGCTGAATCTGGTCCGGAAGAGGACGCCTTGAGCCTCGGAGCTGAAGCTTGCAACTTCATGCAGCCACTAGGGGGCAGAAGTTACAAGACCGTGCCTCACGTAGCACCTAAAACGCCGCCCCCAGTGGCCCCCAAGACCCCACCCCTTATGACTCCTAAGACTCCACCCCCTGTGGCTCCCAAGCCCGCGGCGGCTCGAGGGCTTCTAGATGGGCTAGTGAATGGGTCGGTCCCTACGGCTGGAATTTCTGAGCCACCGAGGCTGCAGGGGAGAGGTGGGGAGCTGTTTGCTAAGCGGCAGAGTCGTGCGGATAGGTATGTAGTGGAAGCAACACCTGGTGCTGGCCTTGGTCCTGGGTTTCGTCCTAGAAGTCCTTCTCCCACACCCTCACTGCCCCCGTCGTGGAAATACTCACCCAATATCCGTGCCCCGCCTCCTATTGCCTACAACCCCCTGCTCTCACCCTTCTTCCCTCAGGGTGCCCGAACGCTCCCTAATAAGACCCAATCCCAGGGGCCACGAGCGACCCCCAAGCAGGGCATTAAGGCTCTGGATTTCGTGCGGCATCAGCCCTACCAACTTAAAACTGCCATGTTCTGTTTTGACGAGGTTCCTCCAACCCCTGGCCCCTCCTCGGGGCCCCCCAAAACTGCCAGAGTCCAGGAGATCCGCAGATTTTCCACTCCAGCGCCCCAGCCCACTGCAGAACCCCTGGCTCCCACTGTGCTTGCCCCCAGAGCAGCTACCACATTGGATGAACCCATTTGGAGGGCAGAGCTGGCCGCAGCTCCTGTTAGCCCAGACCCTCCTCAAGAGTCTCCCAGGGGCCTTGCTGCCACCCCCAGCTCCTGTGCTTTCCAAGTAGCCAGGCCCCGATTCTCAGCCACCAGAACAGGATTGCAGGCTCAGGTGTGGAGGCCTGGGGCAGGGCGCCTGTGAGCAGGGAATAGGTCCCAGGACCAAGAAGTGGAACACGCAGTCCCAGAAGTTTCTTCTGCTTTGTTGTATCTGCTGCCATAGGTGTCTAGGCAAACTTCCCTCCTACCACAGATGGTTTTACAGTTAGCGGTCCACCCCCAGCTTGCTCCTCACTCGCTCCCTGCTGCTTTCCAACCTCATCTCTGCTTTGGTATCTTGCTTCCCTTTATATTTCCTTGCTTGGATCTGTCTCCTGGCCTCTCCACACAGAGTCCTCAGCAGGTCTCTTCTTTACATTTGTGTTTCTGTGGGCCTGGCTTTAATGTTTACAGAGAAGCATACAGTCAAGTAACCAATGAAATCTCAGGCAAGAAGCTCACTGCCAGGCAGGCAACCAAGGGACTAACTGACTTCTGTGTGTCCTAAGCCTCTCCCCACTCCTCACTCTGCTTTCCCTAAGTTAGCTGGCATATGCCTAGGTGTATATGTGTGTGTATATGTGCAAGTGTGTGTGATTAGGATCTGATGTGAAGAGTCATCAGATGTGCACACGTGCACTTCTGTCTGAGGCCAGAGTAAGAGGGGAGGTCTTAATAGATACTCCAAGGTAGGTCTTTTCCTTCTGCAGGAAGGGTCAGACACAAAGAGTCTAGCAGGGAGCAAGAGCTTAACTGCAGAACAACTCCTTAGAATGTCTGTAGCAGGTGCACAGCATCTTATGAAATTGACAGTCTGACAAGACTGGAGGACAGGCAGTTTGCATAGGTCTGAATTATACCAGCTGGACTAGGAATAAAACTAAGAATTCTTCTATTCCTCTGGATTTCAGAAAGTTAACAAACTAGAGGCCTATGCTGAGCAAGCCAGAATCCAGAAAGTGAAAAAGAAAGAAAATTTCCTCTGAGAATGAACAAATGGTTGGCCTCATTGCTTCATGAGTCTAAGACAGAAAGGAGGGAAAAAGAGAGCTGGGATGGGTGGAGAGTGAGGCAGAAATCAGGAGCGGGCCGGAATGAGTGAGCATGAACAAGAGAGGGCAGTGTTGGCCAAAAGTAAAGTGGGCTGACAAGAAATCAACTATGTGTGAGAGGGGCACTGGGGAAAGTCTGAGCTCAGAAGAATGGATGTATTTGTTAGAGAGTATGTACTGAATGGTGAAAGAAGGGCTGATGACTGTTACCTGCTGTACATCTAACCTTCCATTTGTCTTCTGCAGCTCATCCTGACTACCTGGGTGTTGGGGCTGCTTGATATAGTGGCATCTTGGGCCTATGAGTTCCGGGGCACTTCCGAAGCCTGACCTAGAGTCGGCCAGCCTGTCTGGTCACTTTCGATCACTCACCAAGACCGGGCGACTAGCGGAGTTGAGAGGGAGGGACAAAAAGGCCAATCACTTGTACAGGATTGGCTCTGTCAGGCCCTTCCTCATTCCTGGCTCGCGGTGGGTGTGATCCCTTGACCCGTAGGTCAATTATGCAGAAGGTGCCTGTCAATCATGAGTATGGTTTCCCGCCTGTGGCTTCTGCCTTTAAATATCAGCTCCCGCTGCAATAAAGTGTGTTCCTGCTCTGACTCCGCACCCGGCTCTGTGTGTTCCTTTTGAGCTGCACACTCACCATCCTGCTCAGCCCCAAGGGAAAACGGATTATTGGCTGGCTCCAAGGATTTCCTTTTCCCCTCCCCACATGTTGGAACCCGACATTTGGTGACCCGGACGTGATTCTTCACTAATTCTCCGCTGAAGGGCCAATCGGTCTGCGGGTGAGTGACCCCCATAAGATATGGGGAAGGCCAATTCTAAGTTAGATTCTTCTCTTGAGGCGTTAAGGCCTCAGTCTGTCAGACCAGCAAGCAACCCAAGCCTGGGATTACATCAATGAGATAGCACCCTGGGTTGCCGCTAGTAATCTCTTTGACTGGGAGACCTGGGACAGAGTGGAAAACCTCGTTAAGAGGTCCCAGGTAGGAAAGGGTAAGATCCCACCCCTGGGAGTTCTTCCCATGATCTCTGCCCTCAAAGGCTGTTTTCCCCCTCGGCCCCCAGAAAAGAGGGGGGGCTGTTCCGAGCCTCCTAAGCTTGTTGCCCCCTCTCGCAATAAGGAAACCTTACAAAAAAAGGAAGACCCGTCAAAGGCCATACAAAGGAGGGAGAGCCCACAGACCACCAGGGGGAGCCTTTATCCCTCCTTAGATCCCTTTGAGGTGGCCCCCTGGCCCTCTAAACCCCCTCCCCCATCAAAGGAGAGATGGGGGATAATCAAAATTCCCCCTTAGGGGCGACAGCATTATAACAGTGAGGAAAAATACCTGCTTAGGGAACCTCAATTATATCCCATCAGTGTCAACCTGGGGGGGCAACACCTGGCCATCTGGTATCCCTGGGAGGCCTCTGACCTTAAGGAGTTAAAGAAGGCCGTCGCTGAAGATGGTCCCGGATCCCCCTGGGTAGAAACTCTGTTGCAAGGTTTGGTCTACCAGTCATGCACCGCCAGGGATTGGACGGATCTTGCTAGGGCTGTCCTCCCTAGTCCCCTTTTTATCAAATGGTCAGCTTTATACAAAGAGGAGTGCCGCCAACAGGCAGAGACTAACCGGGCCGCAAATCCTCCAGTACCTATTACCTTCAGTATGCTAACAGGAAGTACTGACGCTTATGCTACTGGGGCCCAACAGGCCGCCATTCCCCTCCCATATCCTGATCAGGTCAGAGCCCTAGACCTGTTGGCATGGCGAAAGCTAGACTCTGGTCCCACTGAACCTCCTGTCTGCAGGATATACCAGAAGGTGGGGGAGCCCCTTCATGAGTTTGTGGATAGAGTTGAAAAAAGCCTTAAGAAAAAGATCCCCCCTGGGGCCATTGAGAGATCAATTTGCAAAGATACTCATATGGGATGGCATGGACGCCAACCACCGTGTGGCGTGTGCTGGGCTTAGGGAATGTTCCATCAGCCAGTGGATAGTGGCCTCCAAAGATGTGGGGACAAAGGTAGGACAGACCCAGGCCATGTCAGCGATCCTTCAAGCCCTCACACAGGCACTAAAGGATGCCTTCCTCAAGGAGGAGCCCATTAACCCACAGAAAAAGGGACGCTGCTTCAATTGCGGCCAGACGGGGCATTTCCGCCGACAATGCCCTAACCCGCGTCCCAGAAACAGCCCCAAACCGGCCCAGGATGCCCCCCATACCCCGTGTCCAAAATGTAAAAAGGGATTTCATTGGGCCAAAGATTGCAGATCAAAATATAACATACGAGGAGAGCCTTTAAACTCGAGGGGTGCCCCCCCAGCCCCGTTAAATAAGGGTGTACAAGCCCATTGGACAGTTCCTCTCATCCCCGGGCTGAGGCCCAAAATGACTCTAACCACTGGAAATAAAATTTCAAATTTCATTGACACTGGGGCGGATTGCACTGTGATCAGGAAGAAGGAGGCCCCCCCCGGAAGTTGGTCCCTGGCCTCCCCCCCCGCTGGGGGTGGGGGGGCCAATCCACCTCTTGGGAGACAGCCACTTGGCTACCTTAGGAAGATCCTAATGGGTGCCGTGGGGAAATCATCCCATTGGTTGTCTCAGGGCTAATGGCTAATCTCTTGGGGCAGGATATTCTGGGGGAGGCTGAGGCCTTCATCACTACGGATCATAAGGCCTTCTACAACAACCTCCTCGACCATGAGGAGTTCCAACAACAATTTGGGGATGAGGGGGCCGCTCACTCTAATTACAGAGATGACCCCTACTTTGAACATCTTAGAAACAGACATCCCTGGATGCACCCCCAATCCTAAAGGCCACTGCTCCACCCTTGCCCTTACCTATCACATAGTTGTCAGAAGGCCCGATATGGGTTGAGCAGTGGCCTCTACCTTCCAACAAACTACAACAGCTCCACCAACTAGTCAAAAACCAAGTGGATCTCAGGCATATCACACCATCCACTAGCCCCTGGAATTCCCCCATTTTTGTTATAAAAAAGACTAATGGAAATTGGAGACTACTCCAAGATCTGAGAGAGGTTAACAAAAGGATGGCTCCCATGGGCACCCCCCAGAGGGGAATGCCCTGGATCCCAGCCATCCCTGCCTCCCATGCTTTAGCCACTATAGACATCAAGGATTGCTTCTTCTCAATTCCTCTACGCCCTAATGATAGGGAAAAGTTCGCCTTCTCAATACCTTCACTTAATTATGGAAGACCAGATCTAAGATTTGAGTGGACTGTATTACCGCAGGGCATGGCCAACAGCCCTGCCATCTACCAATACTATCTGAGCCCTATCTTTACCTCTATAATTAAAAGGCCAAATATCCTATTCTATATCTACATGGATGATATAATTCTGGGAAGTCCAGACCCTAATGACCTATATAATTTGGTTTCTAAGTGTATAGCCCTGTTACAAGACCATAATTTCAACACAGCCCCAGACAAAATCCAAACTGTCCCACCGCTAAAGATATTGGGGGCCTCTCTCTCACTTGATACTGTGTCACCTAGCAAGCCACAACTCACCACTCAGGGTACCTTCAACCTTCCTCAGCTTCAAAAGCTACTTGGAGAGATCAATTGGCTTAGACCCTGGATTCCTATATCTACTGAGGAGTTAATTCCCTTGTTTGACCTCTTGCAAGGCCTTGACAACCTCCAGGGTAAAGTTATCACCCCAGTGCCTACAAATTCTGGCTAAAATCCAACAATCCATAAATGAGGCCACCCTAAAGAGATTTGATCCTAATGCCCCCATATTTCTGTCTTTTCATTGGAAACGCAGTGTACCGCCCTCTTGGCAGAAGAGGGCGGGCCATTATAATGGATCTGTTTGGCATTGAGCCTCATACCATTATTACCCCCTATAGATTGACAGATTTTACACGGCTTCATAGAAACAATGAGAGAATGGCACTGGCTCTGGAGGGATTTTTTGGCAAAATTGACTGCCACTATGGCCCTTACAAGTGGATGAGCTCCTTCTCGAGGCTAGAGTGGGAGCCCCCTAGACTTTTTCTTTCTCAACCCAATCCTAAATTCTTAACTGTGTTCACTGATGGAGGGCATCTGGGAGCCTCTCTGGTCATCTATCCCCCCCTAAAACAGGGACAAACTCCTGTATCCATTAAATCGGTCTCCCGCCAGGTTGAGGGATCGCCACAATTTAAAGAGCTCTTTGCCGTTGTCATGGTGTTGGATTCCATATCTGAGCCCTTCAATCTATTTTCAGACAGCCTATATGTGGTTAATTTACTGCCCCACCTCGTGGAGGCTCACATTAGGTTGGACTCCAATCCTATATCCCCTCTAATGATTCAAGTCCGCACTCTACTTAAACTCAGATTAAATCCAATATATCTCCAACATCTTAGAGGCCATCAAAATATGCCAGGATTTCTCTCAGAGGGAAATAAGATAGCTGACCAACTGGCCTCTTCTTTCCAGGGCTACACAATCTCTGAAGCTACCCAATTTCACCAATTAACACATGTCAACTGGAGGGGACTTAGACAAAAATTTCCTCAAGTGGCGGTTAAAGACTTAAAAAAAATCGTCCGCACATGCCGATCCTGTCAGCCCTTCAAGTTCCCCCACTCCAAAATGCGGGAGTCAACCCCTGAGGCCTCCAACCCAACCATTTGTGGCAAACCAATGTCACACATTATGCCCCCTTTGGAAAATTAAAGTATATCTTCCTGTCTGTTGATTCTTTTTCACATGCCTGCTGGGCAACTGCCCATGCTGGAGAAAAATCCAGACATGCAATTAGTCATATATTACAGTGCTTTGCCACCCTTGGGTTACCCAATCAAATTAAGACAGACAATGGCCCCTGCTTCACAAGCAAGCCATTTACTAAATTCCTCCAAACATGGAAAATCCAACACTTCACAGGCATCCCCTACAATCCTCAGGGGCAAGCCATTATGGAGAGAGCCAACCAAACTTTAAAACGTCAATTACAAAAACAAAAAGGGGAGTCCCTGCCTCCTCATGATCAACTAAAAAAGGCCTTATTTGCCTTAAATATTCTAAATTTTTCCAAAGAAGACAAGTATTTGTCCCCCTTCCAAAAACATTGGTCCTCATCAACCAGCATTAGGTTTAGGGATATAATTAGGGTTTGGGGTTGGGTTAGGGTTAGGTTTAGGGAAAGGCTCTTCTTACAGCGGGAAGAGGGTTTGGGTGTGTATTCCCTCATGATGAAAAGAGGCCCTTATGGGTCCTGGTGAGAGATATCAAATATATTCCCCAAACCAGCGAAGCTAAAGAAAACTCATCCACAAAAAACATAAATAATCCTTTTTCCCAGGAGTACAAAACCCCTGAGGGAGACTCTATTCTTTCATTACAGGTGGAAAAATGTTCCCGATCCTGACCAAGATG